GGTAGGTAGGTAGGTAGGTAGGTAGGTAGGTAGGTAGGTAGGTAGGTAGGTAGGTAGGTAGGTAAGTGGATAGGCAGGTAGGAACGCAATCAGGCAGGTTGTTTGTTTTTTTTTTGTTGTTGTTGTTTTTATTTGGTTAGTTAGTTGGTTGATTGCTTGGGGGTCTGTTGGGTTGGTTTGTTAGCTAGCTGGTAGGTAAGTAAGTATGCTTAGGAAAAAGTGCTTACGATTGATCCACGCTCGATAACATGTAGCGGGTTGGGAGTAATCCTAATCCTTCCTGAATGGGATGCTAATTCCAAGGCACCGACCATTATAACTAGTATAGGCCACCGCATTTCCCATAATACGAACTGAACTTTGGCCTTTGTGTCCGTAATCTTTAGATGATTCTACGTTTTACCTGCAAAGTAGAGGATCTGTCTTGTCCTGGTCGAATCGGAGGCGAAAATCATTCCAGCATCCCACAGTTTTTGTAAAAACTTCTCCCTTACATTGAATCGTGTTGAGCAAGAACTGGTTTATCACAGAGGGGTCCACCTTGAGATCACCACAGTGGTAAAATAACATCTCTATTAACGACCTGACAGCAGGGACAAAGCCAGACAGGAGACCAGTCAAGCAAGATGTCAAATGCTCGGTTAAGCATGAAGTTTGATGCTGGTATTCAATACTGTGGAACAAAATGATTGAACAGATTCATAAATAGTAAATATTGGATTAAAAGTTTATTGATCTTTTCTTTCTTAATGATTGTTAAAATTAATTCAATTCCTTATCGTTGATAAATTTATAAGCCTACTAGTTTCTGGAGGCCTCCTCGTCTTTCGTTTGTTTATTAGTTAAGTACTGTGTATTATTTATCATATTAGTTATCATTTTAATTTTAGTTTTGCATCAGTGTTTTTTTTTATATTAGTCAAAAGTACATGTATATATAATGGTAATAGGACTGAGTGGAGTCCAGTTCGGTCTGTAATCATACGAGTGATTAACAAAATCGGACGACCGCGAAGCGGGAGTCCGATTTGTTAATCACGAGTATGATTACAGACTCAATTGGACAACACGGTGTCCTGTTACCAATTAATCAAAACTATGACAAAATTCGAGAAACGAACAAACCATCGATTGATCACTGANGCGGAAAATGACGCGTACTGTCCAATTACAAGCATGACGCGTACACTGCCCAATTAATGCTCAAATCGGGCTGCTGATAGCCAATCACGTTCGAGAATTTTGTTATAGTTTTGATTATAAAAGTAATAAAGTAATAAATAGATGGCTAGATAAATGCAAGGATGAATGAATGAACGAACGAATGAATGAATGAACGAACGAATGAAGTGGCTTTTATTGTAGTTTAATGTGTTCTAAAAAACGAGTCGACATATTAAATTATAATAATTCTTTTATTGAAAGTTGCTTGACACTAGCAGTATCTACTCAAAATGCTTTTCGAAATCCGGTTTAAGGTAAGGGGGAAAAAGGTGACTGTTGGATCTGATCATTATACGTGAACAAAAGGTGCACCAAAAATAGTAAAAAAAAGTGGTCTGGATAATAGCAGGCAAGTAACTATTTTTAAGAAATGGACAGAAACTTTAAGTTTAAAACAAGACATGTTTCGATCGTTCAACGATCATCTTCAGTTGTGAACTCTTGTAAACGAATTCACAACTGAAGATGATCGTTGAACGATCGAAACATGTCTTGTTTTAAACTTAAAGTTGTTGTCCATTTCTTAAAAAAAAATCCTTAGCAATTTGATGAATCAATGATCAGAATCGATTTTTCGCCAAGCTATTGTTATAATTCAACAATTCAGATCAATCTTAGAAAGAAATGATGAGAAGAAGAAATTGTTCTCGTACTGATGGTCTAGTCAGGCTTCCAGCTTGTACTGTGCGAAGTAGGTGGGAACATTGAGCTGAGGAGAATTTATAGAATGATACAAGGAATTAAAGAGTTAGCCACCTGCAGTTAGTGTTGGGTTTGTGTTTGAGATCGGCCATCATCTTCCTCTGGCATTTCTGTCCGCCTGATATGAAATGTGTCATGTTACAGCCTCCAACCATTGGATCGGCCACACAGCCTGACAGCGCTATTGATAACAAGAGATTAAAGGAGCTCAGTCACTGTATTTTGAGTTATTTTGGCCACATACAAAATTACCTTTAAATGGTAGGAAACCTGA